TCCAACAAACCGCTTTCGGCTACGTATTGAATGTTGCGCGCCAGCGCCATTGGCTTGTGGCGGTGAGAAGGTTATCGCGATGAATCGCGATAGAGTTTCCTTCGCTCCTAAGAAAGTAGGTTGGCGTACCGAAAACCATGTCGTACCGAGAAACGAAGAAACAAACATGTTCAGCTCGATGTGTCGCAAGAGCAGTCAGACTTGCGACATGGGCCACGCCACGGCAGGTCGGGTGTCGGCTCCCCCCCAGCTTGGCTTCTCTCAGGCTAGACGCTGGCCCGCTGCGCTGTTAAACTGCAGACAGGGGTCGAATTTGTCTTCACTTGCACATCGTCATTTTATGATTTGAATGGCATGTCTGTTGGGTTCGGTGATGTGTTCGGTGATTTGCGCTGGCGATCGGGTAGTTCTAGAGGTGGCTGGACTTTTGAGGCTTCCCGGTGGTTCATTTCATGGGGTGTCTGGCTGCGGCGTTGTTCCCAAAGACATCAAAAGGGATTCCCGGCGGCGGTGCATGGGGTACGTAATGCCTGGTGACGAGGGCGGCTTGGGAAATGGAAGACGGGTTGTAACGACTATCTCTGCCGTTTTCTTTATTTCGTGTAGAGATCTCGTAATTCGGCAGACATCGGCCGCCGCATTCAACGAGTTCCTTGGGGGATCTTGCAGCTGGGGATCATCAGAGCAAGGGCATCTACCTGAACAGCATTTTACGCGACAACACGGGTTGCATGCAGTCAGTCTCCAAGGTTGACTGTAGCGCGGTCGATGACATCAAAGACTACATACCACTTTCGACTGTTTCCGCCAGCTGGTCGCTGCTGTGCATGCTCCGTGGCGCGGAACTTGCAGGCTCTCCAGCTTAGTGCCATGACCGAACTCGAAGCATGTATACAATAGGTCGTGTGTAAGATACCCGTGACATGCGACTCAATATTACGTGTGCATCACATTGCGCCTTTGTTCGAGTTCTTCCCGACGCATGTAGTCCTTTCTACAAACAGCGCGTAGGTATCTCGCGTGCTAGCCATTGCTCATAGGAGGTGACGATGGTCCTCCTACCATAGACTTTTTAGAAGAGTCTTCTCTATCGCATGCTTTGGCATGTTGTGACTGGAGATCAAGTGTGACGCATGCTGCTGAGTCATCGTCGTGGTTTCGGGCAACGGCCTTTGTCGGATACTCTGTAACATTCTGTCACTGCCTCACTGTCCGCTCTTTACAAATCCTCGAAAGTGCTTGGAAACGATGGATATGGCTCACTGTAGGCTTGTTGTCTTTGTGGATGGCAAGTTTCCCTGTCCGATGGTGCATGATACTACTTAGGTATCTGTTGATACTGCGACATTAAATGCTATGCTTGTTTTTCAGTCTTTCAATTGACAGTGATACAAGAAGGTATTGGTATTGAATATCCTTATTGATACCGAATACATGTGCTAGTATTGAATGTGCTGGGCGTGAAAGATGAAGAAACATATGAATATGAGTAATTATCAAGGCTACCTAGGTAAGCCCTGCATCTACACGACAAACGTTAGAAGCCCCTACCCCTACCCAACAGTCTCTTACAAGTTTCCCAAGAATGAGAGCAAGTAGTCAACTTTGTGTGATATTCTCCTTACCTCAGCACTGACAATGCTCATCGCGTGTTGGTTTCCTCACTCACTGGGTTCTTAGAAGCGATGGATCCACCCTAGTTGACCCCCTCCCAAGGGCGACAGGCGCAGAACTTGCGTCACAAAGCGCACACATTCCACTTCATATATCCCCAAGGGTTCATATGCCTTTTAGATGTAATCACCATTGAGCAGACTGAATAATATTCGTTCATCGTTACAAACACAGATAGCCTCCATCATAACAACGCCTTTTGTTCGCCGAAAGCCCTACCAATGAACGCCATGCTTGGTTCACGAGGTTGATAACCAGAACGCTAATGCAGAAGAGAAAGATCAATCGCTCAATAACGCCCCACAGATACCTCCCCAACAAAGCTCGGAAGTAGTTCGCCTTCTTCCGGCGGTGTATCCGGTGCTAGTCCTGCTTGCGTACTCGCCCTCCGTCCTATTAGACTGCCGGCAACACTAACACTTCCACTCCTTCCACCATCGAGCCTCATTCTCTTGCTACTTCTATCCATTCCTTCGAGCTCTTCTCTCAAGTTTCCCACTTCCTCTTCTTTCTCTTTCCATAGTGTAAGCACTGCTTGCCTCTCTTCGTGTAGTCTCGTCTCCTCAGCCTCTTTCTCTTTCTTGATAACGTCCAAGAGAGCGTCCCTGCCAGCCTTCGCCGCGGCCTCGTCCTGCATGCTGGTGCCTGTTGAGCAACCTATGGCGCCTAGTATGTCGCCCGCTGCTGACAGAATAGGTACACCACCCCCGAGCGTGGTGAAGCGTCCCATGATCATGTTGCCGATGCCAGAGGTTGCGCTGCCTGGCCAGGGTGTCTCTTGGTATGCGGAGGTGGGTATGCGATTGCCGGCGGCAGTGAAGGCCATGTCCATGGCGGTGTTGATGGACGTTATCTTCGCCGAGTCCATGCGTGTGAAGGCTAAGAGATGCGTGTGTGCGTCGACTACAGCAATGCTCCTATTTTGTTGTTAGCACGATCGGTTCGATGGAGCCACATCCGTAAATTTGGGGGGGAACTTACATGGGTACACCGTTCTCAAGTGCATGCTGCTCCGCGGCTTGTAAAGCAACTCGTGCTCCACTTTGTGTCAGGGTGGGCACAGCGGCGGTGGCTGATGCTGTTGGCGTCATGTTGAAATATGCGTTTTCTAGTAACATGGAAAGCAAAGAGAAAGAGTACAATGACAGGTAGTAATACAGGCGGCGGAATTAGCCGTGGTCTTGTGCCTATGTCTTAGCAGATCCCAATGCTCGGGTATGCGGATACACTACAGCGGATCCGACGTTCCTTTAGGCAGGCGGTCTTTCAGAGATGGGGACAAGTCACCTTTAAGATAAGCTGTCAGCCGCAAAGATACCAACGTCTCCTTCATTCCATTCTGTCGCGTGTGCGCGGATACACCAGACGGAAGTGGAGTAAAACGGCGACAAGGTCTCGTCTACCCCAGATTAAGGGTCCCCGAGATCCGTGCATCCGGTGTGATATCTGAGACTTGACAATTTTGTTCGGAGCGGACACATGTGCCGTGGTGGAGCATCTTTTGTGGGCGGGTTAAGATGCCCAGATTAGGAAACCAATATGCGACCTGGGCTGGGAACTGGATAGTAAAGCCTGATGACAACACAAATGGCGTCAGGTATGGTGATCGGGACCCCTGCAGTGGAAGAAGCATCTTGAGAAACGATTGAGCTACACTGCCAGGAAGTTGAGGCACGAAGGAGTGCTATTAAGGCGGTGTCGAGGTTGGGTGGAAGTTTGATGATCAGACTCCATGTGGAGCCGCAAATTACGTAAATGTTGCCACGGCTCGTAAACCAGCGGTAAGCCCATTGCTGGTCGTGCGGCCGGGCAAAACATGTCGCGTGCTGTTGTTGTTACAAAAGACCTTGGTGATGATGTTGCATACTCAAGGGTAGTCTTGAGGTCGCGTGGCAGATGCGTGCTAACCCATGAGGGCCAAGCGGGACGCCGAGAGATGGACTTCTCGCCGACGGCTGCTTGACGCGTTCGATCGCAGCTTCCTCGTTTCCACTTTCACCCCCACTCCAACGCACTAAAGCGAAGCATTAGAAGAGGGCGCGATACTTGTGCTCTCCGTATCCTCAAGTCTTGATGCGCGCTGTTTACTACCTAGGTACACGGCGGACTTTTTGAGGAGAATGCCTCCGCAGGCTATGTTCCAATATTATGCCCCCAGCGCAGTACTGCATCATTCGTTCTACGCCTTATCTGCAGTGATAGAGGAAAATGTTTTTTGCGAGAAGAGGAAGATGTCAATGGTTTTATACAAGTTCTTGCCAACTCGGAGAAGCCATGTGTAACTCTGGCCTGGTTCTACTAATCTTGCGTCGTAGTCTGACGACAGATCCAATACAGGTTTCAATTACAGCGGTGGTAAGCTACGTCTCTGTCTCTCTGAGCCATGATGTTACCAGTGAAGATCAAAGACATTGTTGAGTCAGTTTCACAGTCATTACGTTCAGTAGGCCTTTTCTCTTTCAGACATTATTTATTAATCGTCCTGTTGTGCGTTGTTTCCGTGTCTATGCGTACCGTTGTAATTTCGATATTTCTGCATTCACTTGTGTTGGTGAATGGGCTTTGTGGGACGAGCGAAGAACACCACCTTTGTCCGACGGCGTCTGCAAACGCTATACACCCGTCCAGCTTTCATGACACTGTCCTAACAACCACGCAACGACCAACGGTATTACCTTCAACCTCATCATAGTGACTCCACGCTTCAGCGCATGCGAATTTACCCTCAACATTGACGTATTTGGTCCGGCGACACGGAATATTGCACAATGGCGGATGTCGGCCAGTTGTTGTTGCAAAACGAGCTGTTCATTGCGTTGGGCGCCACTCTTTTCGCTGCGCTTCCTGTTATCAGCCCGTACTGGCTGCCTGTCCTATATCCTAATTCAGCTCCAGAACATTATCAACTTTCTTCGGGCGCTGCAATTGCTACTACAGTCACTCGAACTGCCACCATATTTCCAAAGCCTACGACATTGACCGACAAAGTCTACCAGACTATCGTGCAGACGCGAACTGCAACACGCACAGCAACCACTACAGCCACAGTTCCGAAGACGATCTACGATACGGTCACAGCACAGATAACGTCAGTCTCAACGTACTACGACCGATACTATATCACGAAATGGACACATCTCTCGGTCGATCGAGCGACGCCTTGCACAACCATGGTTTATACCCCCGAAGTTACGACACAGAGTCGAGCGCCCCCTCGAAACGTCGTAACCCTGCCGACGACAAGGCCCAAAATTTCCTCGTGGGTTCCATGGGGATTCTTCGCATTTATCCAGCACCTTCTACTTCTCATCTCGTTGATCGCAAATATGATTATGTGGGTTTGGGATCCAAGGGTGATCAAGCTTTTAGGAGATGTGCAGGCGTCACAAGAGACTCTTGAAAGTGTGAGAAGAAGCCGCCAGGACCTGAAAGACAGGTACCAGACCGATCAGGCCAATCTTATCAAAAGATGTGAGAAAGCGGAGGAGGCTGCTGTGATGGTCCAGGCAAGAGATATCATGCTCCAAAAACTTGGCGTCCCTATACCGAGTGACGAAGCCGACATCCGAGAGCTCGATAGAGACATGCTTGTCAACCTAGTGCAAGCCAGAATGAATGTGTTGGCCGACGAGAAACAGCGGCTGGGTCGCCTAGAAACGGAAAACAGTGATCAGATCGCGGAGATCAACGGACTCAAAGAAACTATCACAACCCGGTTGAGTAGTGACTATGTGCCAGGCGTCAGTCGGAGCTTTGATTCGTTGCTCTTCGATAAGCAACGGGAGATCGACAATTTGCGTAAAGAGATTCGTGGAGGCGACTTTGGCGAGGATATCAAGGCAAATCACGTACTCCATCAGGAGAAAGATGCCGAGCTCAATGAGCTACGACCTATGCGTGGGGAAGTTGAGATCCTAAGACAGGCTCTGGCCGAAGCCAAAGAAGAGATTACACGAGTCGAAGAAGAGACAAGGGATAAGGGTGTTGCAGATCAACGTCGCCGGAACGAAGAGCGAACTAGTCTGCTCATAGGACGGAGTGAAGAAATCTCTGTTTTGAAAGACAAACATGCCAGCAAAGTCACCGCTTTAGAGTTCCGCTTGAAGGAGAGGGTCGAAGAGATCAACATCCAGAAAAATAAGATCGCTGACCTAAATGCTCAGTTGCACAAAGCGAAGCGTTCGCTAACTTCATCTCACAAAACCCATCAGCCACAGTCGCCTGCCCGCCCAGTTATCGAAGCACCTAGACAGCGTTTCAATGGTATGAACTCCAAGCAGAACACTTTCACAGAAAACGAGGATTACCTTCGACGAAGCCTGGACGAGAAAGATCAAGAGTGCAGGGATTTGCAGCAGAACTTCATGATACTTGCAAAGCAGTACAAGGAGAAAGTGGAGGAACTGGAGAAATTGGAGAGTCAAATCACAAACGAAAAGGAGCATTGCGAGAATGAAAAGAACCTACTGCGTCGACGAATTGTTGAACTTGAGAGAGCCCTCGAGGTAGCACAGATTCACGGTTCTCAACCGTCAACTATTACTGGTCCTACTACGAACGAGCTCCAGTATGGATCCACTATTCCAGAGAGCAGTTCAAAAGCCCATGAAATTTCAAAGACGCAGCTCGAGAAACAGATAGTGGATCTGCAGGAAGCCAACGAAGCTATGGCCTTCATCGAGACGAACTTGCGCACCCAAATCGCTTCATTGAGCAAGGACATACAGGCCAAGGAAGTAAGGGAAGATGAGCTCTCAACTCAGGTTTCGAAGTCAAGAGAACAGTTGCAAGCCAAGTGTGCCCAAGAGCAAGTTTTGTTTAGCCAGGTCGCGACACTCACCCAGCAGCGCGATGCCGCCGTCGAAGAGACCACGGGTGTCAAGAAGCAACTTGAGGAAGCCATGTCCAAGGGCGAGGCTGTTTGGGGTGAGCTACAAGAGCTCAAGGTAGCGAGAAACAATAACGAAACTGCGCAGAGAAACCAGGATATGGGCAAGCTGGAGAAGAGCAACATCGATCTCCAGGGGCAATGTGATCAACTCCGCCAACAAGGAATGCACGAGATCAACAGTCGTGACCGGCAGATCCAGAAGCTTCGAACTGACGCAGCCACCGGTAGTCAAACCATTCACGATCTCGAGCAGCGGCTCTTGGTACTGAAGGCAGAGAACAACACCCAAAGTCAGGTTATCCGAGCATTGAAAAATGAGCTTCAGGCGGAGAAGGATAGGTATCTCATCGATGTAAACGATCTCAAGAATGATGTCGATCATGCGCAACGCGAGACTGAGAAAGAAAAACACGGGCGAAAGGATGACGTTAGATTGGCGAGGGAGAGGGAGGCAAAGGCAATCGACGAGGTGCGACGTGAAAGACAACAAGAGATTGATGATCTGAAGAATTCTCAAGAATCATCAACAATCAAGAAGCTGCAAGAGAGAGTTGAGTTCTATCAGATGGAGAACACTGATCTCTTGGAAAATGGAAAAGAGGGTTGGAAGAACCTTCTCCTAAGGAAGAATCAGGAGATTCAAAAGAAAGAATCGGAAATCAGTTCCGCCAATAGCCGCATCCGGCACTGGCACAGACTGTATAACATCTTTCACAGAAGGTTCGAGGGCCTTCAAGGGAACAAGGCATACAAAGAAGGCGAGGTGAGCTATGCCGAGGCCAGAGCTGGCCTTTTCATGGGAAATGATAGCCACATCTCGACCGCGATGGAGAAATGCGTAAAGTTCACCGAGGACTTGGAAGCTGAGGTAGGAAGACTGAAGGAAGAAGTGGAGAGGTTGCGGAAGTACGATGAAAAGGTGGTGGAGGAGGAGATGAATATGGATGAGACGATAGAGTAAAGGTAGCAGCGGGTAGGGTTATCTCGAGTGGGGGCAATTGAATCAGCGCCAGAGAAATTTTGCAGCTTTCATATTAATGTGACACATATCTTGCTTAGTTCGGTGTAACTCGATTGCTATACTTGGTTGACATAACGCTGGTAGAGGTTTGCCCCACAATAAACTCCATGGAACATGGAACGAGTATCAGGCAGATGCGAACCAAGCCAAAAACTCTGATTCGCATCCGATGTCATTTGTAGTGGCCTCGTGACCTCGTGCTGTCGAAAGCCGTCTCACTACATTATCGCTCCACGCAGACCAGAAAGTCAGCGAAATCCTCACTACACAAACCTTCGCATTGGTCAGCGGGCAGGACCGCCGTCCCTCGATCCAAGGATACATCTAGAGAATGAGAATAATCTATTGCGGTACATCCACCCATAGCTATTCATGAAGCCACTATCGCTTATTGTTTGTAGGTGAAGACTCTGGTTCCGCATTTACGGCTCACCTGAGTGGCCAGCCAGTTCCACATCTCCAGCGTTCACTCTCACCTCGACAACAGCAGAATCTTCCTATTGTACCGTGGGAACTGCTAGCTTCAGCAGTCCAGTTTTACGATAAATACTGTCCTCATCCTCCTTTCCTTCAAGTATCTTTATTACTCTTCTCTCACAATTCAAAGTCTTGAAGAACTTCTACCAGAACTTTCCAACACACACACTGCGCAGCAACAAGACTTTTCAGTACTTCAAACCACTTCAGTACTCATCAAATACCACAAACGTCTCGCATATTACCACACGCGCGCTAAAAAACTTCGGTACTCACCAACGCACACCATTTTGAGCATACGTTTCGCTTGTCCTTGTTGAATACCACAACGCCTCGCACACATCAGCCTTAAAACACACATACATCAGAAATGTCTACCACTACGACTGTCACCGACCTTGAGGTCCTCAAGATCAGGTCTGCCACCCTCCTCGCGTCATCTAACACTTCTCTCAAGGCCGCATCCACCTCTATCACCAAGGTCGAGAAGAAAATCCCCAAGATCGATGCCTCCACCACCAAGCTCAACAAGGACGTCACCAAACTACAAGACAGCCAGAGCAACCTCAAGGCCACCGCCGAGTTCCCTGAGATGGTCGCCAACGCTGCCGCCTTAGAGCAGGCACTTTCAACGATCCGCGTCCTCAAAATGCTCAAGAAGGAAGCGATCGAGGAGAAGACAAAATGGCAGAAGAAGTACAACGAAGCCGCTCTCGAAGCTCTGAGGGCTAAGAAGGAGAACAAGTCGCTCATCAAGACTGTCGCCGAGCAGAGTTTGACAATCGACGACATACGCTCCGAGGTCGAAGTGTACTCCAAGGAGTCAGCTGAAAGCTACAAGAGGCGTGAGGCATCGCACGAGGCGTATGCAGCTGAGCTTGAGGAGCTCCTCGATGTGCAGCGGACCGACAAGTATGCTCAAGCAGACAAGATCCAGTGCGTAGCATCTTCGAAGCTCTGGAGTAACTGAGTGTCTCCTGGGGGTAGTTTGGGAAATCGTTTTTATGATTAGGTGCGGCGCGAGGGCTTTTTGGTATACTTGTTGGGTTGGAGTTCTTGGGTTCAAGGCTACGCGAATACCTTCTGGCGTACTCATAGTTTGTTTACAATGCATGATTATTGACAACGTCTACTGCAAACCTCTCCAACTCATCTTCCTAAGTGTAGCCCCATAGAACCAAAGCCCTATCGGCATCACTATCCCCAATGTCATCGTCAAGAATGCTAATAGACTGTTTCCCCACCCCAAACCCAATGTCTCATACATCTGTGGCGCAAAAAGCGGAAAGCTAAAGCCACACATTGTCCTCATGAAGGCTCCAACACTCGCTGCCGATGCTGCATAACGTGCTTCGTATGCGTCAGTGGTATAGGCTTGCGAACATTGGAAGCCGATGATCAGGCCGATGGCGAGGATGACGGCGCCGAGGTTGGGAACAATGAAGTGAACTTCGTTCTGGGCACTCCAGCCGTAGACAAAGAGACCGATAGGACAAACAACGCCCGCTATAAGCATAGGCGGCACGCGGAACTCGGGTAGGCCTTCGGTAAGGTTGTAGTACGTCTTCATACGTGCGTACAGCTACTTCGGTGTTAGCGTTGCATCTTCAGCATCAGTGAAGTTGGAGAAGAAAAACGTACCCCATCCATGAGCGGATGCGAAATCTGCAACCCAATCATGAAGCCCAAGCAAAGCGACAGGTAGTTGAGCGATGCATGCCCAGTGTCCATATCATAAACGTCCTCAAAGACCATCGGAAAGGTTGAAAGCATCAGGTACATGACGCCGTACAAGAATGCGCGATAGATCGAGGGTGCCTGGGTGGCAGGATGTGTGAACATCATGATGAAGGGCAGGATGAGCCTCTTTCTCAAAATCTTGCTCATGCGATCACCTGTCTCAAACTCTGTCCGCACGACTACATCGTTCCTTATGCCTTTCATCGCCTTTCTAACCGCTTTCGCTTTCTTAGCGAGGATGGCCGGGGCGAAGGTCTCGGAGAGGAAGAAGAACGCGGTGACCTGAACAAAGATAGTGAAGATAGAGGTGGCCCAGAAGATCCAGCGCCAGCTTACGCCCTCAGATATGTAGGCACCGCATATGGGAGCTACGCAGGGTGCCAGCCATGTCAGGATACCATAGATGGCTTGGCCTTTCCCGCGTTCTTCTTTCGACCAGGTATCAGCGAGAACACCGTTGCACAACTACAATAATATCAGTCTTGCTCTCTTTGTCTCCTAACGAATTTTTGAAAGCGAACAGGGATTATACATACAGCTTGCGGCGCCGCTCCGCCGAGACCACTCAAGAACCGAAAAGCAAGCATCTGCTCCTTGGTCCGCGCAAACCCACAACATGTGTTGAAAAGCAGATACACAAGATTGGCATACTGCAACACGGTAACGCGTCCGAAGATCTCGCTTAGGGGTGCCAAGACGAAAGGTCCTTGAGCGTAGCCAAGGAGGAAGATGGTCATGACCAGTTGGCGCATGAATCCTTCCGGTATATCAAAGTCATCTCCTATATCCGGCAACGCAGGTGTTACCATAGTCGACGAGAAAGGTGAGATGAATGTAAAGAGCGATACGAGTATTGTAGCTACCCATTTGCGTTTGTTGCTCCAGTTGAGCGGGTTGCGAGGGTCGTTCGGGCCGTCCCAGGTAATCCACACGTCATGTTAGTGGCAGTGCCATAAGAGATCTGAAACACCTACAATGATTTCGTCGCCTTTCCGAAGACCCTCTTCCATGATTTCTTGGCCAGCTTCGTAGCCCGAGTTTTCTTCTTGCTGCCACTGTCGGAACAGACGTTCGGTGCTAACGAGCGGATGATTGTCACCCTCGAACGAGAACCTTGGGAGTTCCAAGGACTCGCGTGCGCTCCTCTCGTCTACCGACGGTCTGCCAAGTAATCTGTCTTTAAAATTCATAGTGAGTAACGAGTGTCGAAACAGAACGAATGAAACGTGATGATAGCGAACGGAGCTTGATGATACCTTTTCGTGTTACAGGCGCAGATTGCCTGCATATAATTTCAAAACCTCTTTGCCAACTACCACAAATCGAGGCAGTGCCAGAGAGGCGCTCACCAAGCGGAGGCTGTTCAGGATGCGAAAAGCACTATACGACCTAATGACCTCAAGGTACAGTATCAAACGTGTAGCGCAAATGCCACGCTCCAAGAAACATGGACTTGAGATGCCGAGTCACAGGTCAATAAGGCTGCGGTGAGACATATGCCGACGTTGTGTTCAAGAATAGAAAACTGTCGCGTGAGCACATGGTAGCCACTGCGTCTTAGATCTATCGTGACCAATAGCAATGTAGCGGGTGCTGCCACGAGATCGCAAGCTTTCTTGTGGTGGAGATTGATCATCGATAACAGCCTTCTTTGTAGACGTCAGCTAGCTGGCTGTGCTCGGGATTTTCTGCCAAGAAGGTACAACTTGGTTTTTCGCTAAACCGCTTGGTGAAGACACGCGCAATCGCCGCGATTGGCCCGAACCGAGACCCTCAAGGAAAGTCAAGAACTTTGGCTCTGCGGAACTATCACTGATTGAGTTCTCAAGAAAAGCCAACCACAAACTAGAGCTATACACATGGTAGTACGCATACTAGCAGGGCTGTGCCGTTGTAGTCGTAATATCCGGCTATGCTGCGAGACCAGGAGCTTAGAAATGCGGACTTGATGTTTCGTAAAGGTGTAGATACTTGCATCTTGAATGACGTTGTTGCCATGGTCCTGAGGCTGGAAGCGATACCTTAGGTGGCACTTCCAAGTGGTGCACCGGAAATAGCTCTACGGGCTATGTCGTGTGCTGTTCATCGTGAAAGTGTGCAACTCCAGACGAGCAGAGTCTGGGTCGAAGATATAAGTATGTCGTATGTCCAGAGAAAGATGGTATCCAATCACACACAACCGGGTTGACATTCGCTCTACATTACCACATTTCCACTTTCGCTTTTCGAATTCATTATCAATCGACCGACGTCCTACTCTATTAGCGACAGCCGTGAGCATACTACCCACCTTTATTTCTTCGAACAGCCAGCATGCTCGCCAGCGTACCAACAAGCATGGAGCTCGGTGTACACGGTGCACCGAAAGCGTCGCCAACACTTCCGCCTCAACTCCCACGATTACTTTCGCTGAAAACTCTCAACTTACCGCAACAGCAAGTAGACGACCTTGTGAACCCGGCATCGGCGGTGCTGTCGACTCCAGCATCAGAAATCCTGGGCGGGCACCCACTCAGGATTCTGGTCGCACCATCAGGGTTCAAGGAGAGTCTAGGCCCAGAGCACGTGGCCGATGCGATCGAAGCAGGAATCCGGAAGGTACTGGACGGCAATTCCGTTATTCTGCGCAAGCTTCCTCTGCACGATGGCGGAGAGGGCTTTGCTCGAGCTCTAGTAGCGGCTCATGGCGGATCGATTGTTGACGTGCCAGTCACGGGCCCTACCGGATCATTGGTCCAATCGCACCTTGGTTTTATTGGCAAAGACAAGAAGACGGCTGTGTTGGACATGGCAGCAGCTGCAGGCCTTCGTTTAGTGCCAAAGGACGAGCGCGACCCAACAATAACCACGACTTACGGGGTCGGAGAGTTGATTAGGGAGGCGCTTGACGCAGGGTCCACAAAGATCGTCATCGGTTGTGGAGATTCTGGGACCTCAGATGGAGGGGCGGGGATGCTCCAGGCTCTTGGTGTCCGATTACTTGATGCAGATGGCAAGGAGCTGCCCAAGGCTGGTGGTGGTCGGTCGTTGGCACACTTAGCCAGCATCTGCTGGGACGGTGTACACCCCCGGTTACGAGAGACTGCTGGTAAGTCGCCTAGCCCAACTTACATACCTGTTTTAACCCCATACCAGTTGAGAAGGTCCAGATAGAGGCCGTATGCAATGTCAAGAACGTACTATGTGGCCCCAAAGGCGTCGCGCGAGTGTACGGCCCGCAGAAGGGGGCCACGCCTGAGCAGGTCGATATGCTTGCAGCATCCCTTGAGCGGCTGGCGCAAGTTGCTCAGTCGACACTTGGAGAGGACATCTCTCAGACCCCAGGCAGCGGTGCCAGCGGTGGTCTTGGAACCGGTTTGATGTTGTTCGGCACTACATTGCGCGCCCGCGCTGAAGCCATCAACGAGTACTTCGAATTCGATCAGGTTTTCGAAAACCAGTGGGATTTTGTCATTACCGCAGAGGGCTCCCTGGATTTTCAGTCACCGAACGGAAAGGTCAGTCAATCTTTTATTGTCGCTCCCTTTGCACTTTGCTGACGACGACAGATGACGACTGAAATTGCTCGGCGCGCAAAGAAGAACGGTGCGCAAGTCGTTGCACTAGCCGGCACCATCGGAGAAGGCGCAGATGGCTGCTACGGTGCTGGCATCAAAGCCTTCACAAGTATCCTCCGAGAGCCGGTAACCCTGGAGCAAGCGATCGGCCAGACAGAGGCATTGGTCAAGGACGGCGCCGAGAAGGTGATGCGCATGATTATGGTAGGGTTGGCTCTTGGACAACGGCATCACTGAGAGCGGTGTCGCATGCACTGCCTGGAACAAGAGTTCTTGGTGCCTTGGTAGTGCCGCGATGGCGTGGTCCTCCAACAGGAAAGTTTCTCAATAGCATTCTAGATTTAGCAAGCAATGATAATGAAGTAATGATGAGCACTGTTGTTGGAGTCCGCAAAGGGAGGAGGTTGGTAGGAACGCGTCATGTCGCGTGTCTACGAGTTTGTTCAGCCGCGACTGCTTTCCACACTAACTTAGCGATAGCGTCGTTGCTGCTCCAACTAACACAATTCCATCAAGAGCAATTTCTGGTCACATCAGCACAACGTAGACAGTTTACTGAGGTCAGAAAATGATACATCACTACTGCTATTCACACAAACGGCTGTTAAGACACTGCTATATCCAATCGGCTGGGCTCTTCAGGTTCTTTTCCTTTTCCATTCCTTTCGTCTCCCTCGCCTTTTCATTAACACTCTCCATCTCGAATCCAGCAACCTTCTTGTACACCCTTCCAATCTCCTCCAACTCCTCCTTTGGAATGACATCGTACACATTCTTGAAGCCATCCGGCGCCCTTTCCTCCGCAAGTTGCAAGACGTGATCAGGACCGTTCGCTCGATTTGCCATGACGATCTTTGCGGTAGGCGGCAACCTCTCCAACTCGTATGCTTTCAGCGCACCGGCAATATCTGAAGTGTTGTTGGAGAGGTGCTTGGCAAGTGTCTCCGCGTCGATGATGGCTTGAGATGCGCCATTGGAACCGATGGGGTACATAGCGTGCGCTGCATCGCCCATGAGTGTAAGACGACCGAACGACCAGGCTTCTACAGGGTCGCGATCAGACATGGGAAACTCGAAGACCTTCTCTGTGCTGTTGATCAAGTCCTTCATCTCCAAACCTCCGCATCTCCATGTCTCAAACGGACCTGCGAAAACGTCTTTCTTGACAGCCTTAGTCCAGTCTGTCTTTGGTGGTGTCAGGTCCACGTCATCTTTGTCGCGTATGCGCAACTCAGCGATCCAGTTTACGAGGCTTTTGCCTTTGTCAGCTGATCTTTGGCTGATGGGGTATGCGATAAATTTCTGGTCGGCGTGGCCTGCCCATACCATGCTTGCGCCTGTCAAGTACTGCTCGCGCTCAATGCATCCACGCCAAAGCATGCGTCCTGAGAAGCGTGGTGGTCCTTCGCCCGGGTAGAGAAGTCTCCTGGCTGTGGAGTTGATTCCATCAGCAGCGATAAGGATATCACCTGTTACACTTGACTCATCCACTGGCGCACCATCCCTCCTGTGCGAAAATCGTGCTGTGATGCTCTCATCGTTCTGATCGAATCCAGCCAAGGCGTGGTTTAGGCGAAGAACATCATTGCCAAGACGCTCCTTTACAGCGCTCAGAAGCAACATCTGGAACTCTCCGCGATGGATCGAGAATTGAGGCACCTCGTATCCTGCATCCATGCCTCTAGGCTCGCTGAGAATGGAATCGCCATGGCGATTGTAGAAGTTCAGCTCTTTTGTCTTGATGCCCGTCTTCTCCAGTGCTTCAAGTAAACCTAGATTCCGCAGAATCAAAACTGCGGACGGCTGGACATTGATGCCAACACCGAGCGTTGTGAGCGTCGACGCTGTCTCGAAAATCTGAATGTCGCTGAAGCCGGCGGCATGGAGCGCTAGCGCAGTGGTCAATCCACCGATACCGGCGCCTGCGATGAGGATTTTTGGCTGCGTGTCCAAGAACGGCATGTTGGGAAACACTTATGCAGAGTCGATATATAGTCAAAGAAGAGAGAATCTCGCAGTCAGAGGCAAGATACACAATACTCACTACCAAGTCGGTCCTACTCCCGCGTGTTTGTGGAGAAATTACGTTAAAAGTGCTCTTGAACATACTGCCGATTTTAGCTGCCGCGGCTCGAATGTAGCCGCAGCAGAGCAATACCCAGTATTTCCTCTCGTCCCGCAACAATATTAGCCTCATCACCGGTATTCGCATGTATTTCGGGCACTCTTCGTATGGAGTGTGGGGAAGATAGAGGGTCTAGTGAACTAGTCGCCCGTGCCATGGCCGAAATCGGTTGGTCGGTCGATCGCCCACGAGAGTCTTGCAACACTCCAGTGCACTAAAAGAATACATCTCAAACTTCGACATCGAACAAAGTATATTGAACTTTAGCCGAAACACAATTAAAGAAAGACCCAAAGCTTAAGAATTGTAGCGTCGTAGAGACATATAATTAACAATTTAGTATCCTAAACAACAAAACCTTCTTCTCCATGTGAGCATAACCTTAAAATGGTCCAACATTACATCTCTTATCCACAACCAGATGACTCTGACTAAGGAGCATAATCCTCATTACCATCTTTGTCGTATCTGACATACTTAACCCTGTCCATACCATGCGTAGCCCGAAGGTGGCCTAGGGAATTAGTAAAGCGTAGATGCTTGTCACGTCGATGATGCTTACAATTGTCAGGAAATGAGCAATAGCCTTGATCGCGCTCGAGGGCGCATTGATGGCCGAGATCTGAAGTCGAAGTATTAGCGGCACTGTGAATCCATACCAAGATGGCCGTAATGATGGTAGGGTCTGAAATCCCCTTGATCATTATGTACTTACAGCAGTCAATGTTTTCACAGTAGCGGTTCTTACAAGCCAAACTGCGTGTTTTGTAGCGCAAAGCGTTCAGTTCAGCCGTTGTAAGCTTCGGCTCATGCTGGAAGTGACAGAACTTCCCATTCTCGCAGTGACCGCCAAGGTGCCAGTGATTACACATCTTCTTGCCTACTTTTTTCATGCGTGCTTCAAGCGAAGCTACAGCGGAAGGATCTTTTGGTGGCAGTGGTTCGTCAAGCCGTTGTCCAGCTTTGTTGTAATAAGCATACTTCTTCTTAGTATTTTTCTTAGTAGCAGTTGTAGTCGGTACGACAGAAATGTTGCCGTTTTCAGGAGCACCAGATTTGCCCACAGTGGCTAAGGGATTTGAGTCAGCCGTGCGTCGTCTCGTATTTGATACGATTGTGCTATGTTACTTACCCCACGAAGAATCGCCGTTAGATTCACTAGGTGTGGCGGCTGACACCGGAGTGACGCTAGGCGAGGGAGACACCACTGGGGCCCTCGGGATGAACGTGGGCGACGTATTGTTATCGTTCGTGACGGAACGAGAGAGGGGCTGCGGCTGTGCTACAGGCTGTACCGGCGACTGCACGGCCAACTGACCGAAGCCATTGGTAGGAGGCGTATAATCGGGCAGGGGCTCATTCCTGAAGACGTCGTCGAAACGAGTGCGTTTGAAGTTGACTAAATCCGTGAATCCACGGTAAGCTGGTGTGGTCTCCAGAAGTGTGATCCGGCCGGCTTTGGCGGCATTGTGTTTGAAGTGTTCGAGATTTAGGAGATATCCTGCGTCATGGCAGCCACCAAAGATGATGTGACGGCAGGTGGGATTGTCGCTAAAGGTGCGAAGCATTTCTGCAGACAATATGTCAACGCTAGTCACTATAATTGGGAGAGATCTAGTACCCTTAATCTTGTGGTCGGCCCTCTCCTTTCCGTGACCGACGTCGATAACACTAAATAAGGGTTGATTGACGCTGAAGCGCTGTGCAAAGGCTCGCAATTCCTGTGGACTTCGAAGAAGGCCAACCGATGCCAACTTTTGTGAGAGCTTATCGAGACTTAGATAGACTTGGACCATAATCGGCCAGTTCCCGGAATTGTTGTAGAGCGAAGCAACATGGTCGCGCATTGCATGGTACAATCGTGATGCAGCTTCCGACCCACCGTCACCACCAGCGGCTTGAAGTAACGCATCTTGAAACTGCAGATAAATAGTCAACAACTAGAATCATGGATGGGTTGACTGTGCCGCGATATCATGTGAACGTTATCGACCATGCACGGGCCCAAATCGATAAACTGTTGCCAGGATAGATGGAAGATTCGACTCAGAAGCCTGGAAATACTTACGATAGCTCCATCACCATCAATAAGTGCCAATACAAACGAACTCGCTTCCTGCAGCCTCAATCAGCACACAAACCCGTAAGGCTGAGTTTCCAGCGAGTAACGCACAAGCTGACGTTCGTAATCCCCCACCAAACCCTGTTTCTCTTCAACGGTTCTCTGGTAGTTTCGCCTGATATCCCTTTCACTCAAATAATCATTCTTCAAATTGCCGTGTTCTTCGGACAAGGCTTGATACTTTGCTAGAATTTCCTATTCCTTTGTCAACGTTTGTCGCACGGTCGAACACGCGACTCAGCGACACGTACGCTAACGAAATGCTCTCTGGCCTCATCAGATGCGCGGAAGGTTTGCATTTGATGGACGAACCGCTCGTAGTCGTTGTAATTAGACATGATGACGGAGAGCCTGGTATCGTTAAAGAAGTGTTCGGCCGTGGTTCAGTGCGGGTAAGGTGAGCTGAAGGCAGCACTCGAGATAATGCGTACAGAGTGGAAGAGGGTCCGGGCGGGAAGCCTAGACTGAAAGAGTGCAGAGCGGGGCGATCACATCCACCTTGTGTAGAATCAAACACCCAGGTTCACTGCGCTTCGTTGCAAGGAAATCAGGTTGGTACTTGCATGAGAAAAGATGTCGTAAAGCGTCGAGATTCTCAAACAGTTTTGGTAGATATGCCGTTGGTGGATTTGTAGTAAATGTGTTGTTTCTCTCAACAGGGCGCAGCTCTTTTCGTGCATGAGCTGCAACGGTGGGCCATGGGAGGCACAGGCGAGCGTATCGCCGTCTGCCCTCTTGTGTGACACAAAACATTATTGACAGCACACAGCCCGATGGCACGACGAGGGAAGAATGTTCTAGAGCTTGCAGAGTGACTGCAGGTGTGCCTCAGAGGATTAGGTAACGTTGGATCAGCGAATAGCGGAGATGACGATGGCACGTCCTTGAACAAACAAAACGCGACGGGTGCGGCAAGATTCTTAGACAGCGTGAATTTCTCCGGTCATCAAGGACGAGCCTGACGAACAGCTGAACGCATCTAAACGAGAAGCTAGCTATAGCTCACTATGACCGGTGGAAGCGAACTGAAGCAGGCGTAGAGCGAGCGAGAGGACTTTAAAGCGACTGGGTTTTGACAGCAAATGACCAAAGCTTTAGGAACATTCGTTGCATACACAGTATGAATTGTGTTTACTGATAGTGTTATATTGGAAGTGGAACCAAAGGGCTGAAGGGCGTGAATAACGCGTAGCAGAAGGTAGCCCGACGCGTATCTTCGCATTGCTCGGACTCATCGCTCGGTCTCGGTGCAATTCCGCGTCTGATCCGCGTCTGATGTCAGCATAAACGGTAACGTGCACCACCAGTAAGCGGCCCACACCAGTAAGTGGCCCACCCCACCTGACCTGACGCGACGCTCTACGCAATTGCTCTACAACAACGCAATAATATCAGATATAATTAAGAGATATAGTTAATTATCTAGCTCTGCATGAAGTCCGAGTATGTCCTTGAACGTGACACTTCGTGCACGTCGGCGGCGCGCGCTGACGTCGCTCACCAGCCTGGCTCTGGCTAGCCTCTATCACCACTCTTTCTGCCTCTGCAGCCAACTGCTGAGCCTGCTGCACCTGGAGCACTCCACCAGAAGCGATGTATTGACGCTGCTGACTATGCTTTTGTTGTTGGCGCTGATTTTCTGCACGTAGCTTCCTATTCTCCTCTGCAAGTATTGCTGCTGATTGCATTGCAAGCTGAGCGCTTTTAGC